CTATTTTTATAATAATTTACATTGAAACCCAGAAAACCAGAAGAATCATCAAGAATCGCACGACTTTCTAATGATATGTTCTCTATGTCTATATTCTGCTTATTACCTCAAACAGAAGGACAAATAAAGACAAGATAATATTTTTTTGTCTTAATAAAATCGCAAATCGCTCGATTGCTTTTAAGTACCGCTCAGAACTGATCCCACTGCATATAATTTTTATATAACACACAAAAAATCACATGTATTTTTTTATTATTTTAAAAACATTTATTAGTCAAATAAAACTAATAATTTTTATTCAGAAAGGATAACACACATTCATCCCTGTATAAATCCATAGAAACAGAAAAATCATCAAGAATCGCTTGACTTCCTAATGATCTATATTTATCTAAGAATAGTAAACGTCTATTCTGCGTAATTCATAAAGTAGGAACATTAAAGACAAAGTTAAATGAGTATTCATCTCAAGTGAAATCGCTCGATTTCCTCTTAGAAAATACCACCTGGTATTTTAAAATACATTATTTTTGTATAGAATTACTGAAAAAATCGCATGATTTTTTCAGTATTTAGAAGGGATAACACACGTTCTTCCCTGTATAAATGCAGAGAAAAAACTAATATTATCAAGAAATGTCCGACTTCCTAATGGTATATATTTATGCAAGAATAATGAAGGTCTAATCTGCTTAATCCAAACAGCAGGGTTAAGACAAAGTTAAATAAGTATTTCGTCTCAATGAAATCGCTCGATTTCCTCTTAGAAAATACCGCCCGGTATTTTAAAAGATATTATTTTTACATAGAATTAGTACAAAAATATTTAGAAGGCATAACACACATTCTTATCTGAATAAGTCCATAAAAACAGAAAAATCAGCAAGAATCTCTCGACTGTCTAATGATCTATATTTATACAAGAATAGCGAACGTCTATTCTGTTAATTCAAACAGTAGAGTTAAGACAAGGTTAAATGAATATTTCGCCTCAATTAAATTGCTCGATTTGCTCTTAGAAAATACCGCCCGGTATTTTAAAAAAATATTTTTACATAGAATTAGTACAAAAGTATTTAGAAGGGATAACACACATTCTTATCTGAATAAGTCCATAAAAAGAGAAAAATCATCAAGAATCGCTCGACTTCCTATTGATCCATATTTATGCAAGAATAATGAACATCTATTCTGTTAATTCAAAACGTAGGGTCGTAAAGACAAGATTAAAAGAATATTTCATCTCAATGAAATCGCTCGATATCCTCTTAGAAAATACCGCCCGGTATTTTAAAAGATACTATTTTTACATAGAATTACTGCAAAAGTATTCAGAAGGGGTAACACACGTTCTTCCCTGTATAAGTCAGAACAGAAAAATCATCAAGAATCGCTCGACTTTCTAATGATCTATATTTATGCAAGAATAAGGAACGCCTATTTTGTTAATTTAAACAATAGGATGATAAAATAATTATAATTACTTTTAAATATAATTGCATTGTTTTATAAAATAAAGTAGTTTATTTTCGATATTCAGAAGGGATAACGTACGTTTTCCACTCTATAAGCAATATTTTATGTTAATGATGAAATATAATAACAGCCTACCTGTTGATTCTTCGTTAGAGCTATACTCTTTTTATTTGTTCCTGTAAGTATTTCACCTAACTGCCTTATCATCTTTGTTTTGCATTTTTAATTTTTAAATTCACTTTTAAATATAATTTAGTCCGTTGCTGGTGAGCACGAAAAAAGGAATGGTATGCAGGTTTGGTATACGATAGGAGCAGTGAATATGGGGCATTTTGTTTACTCTAGAAAAAATAAGTGCTGATGAGTAGGTTTCAAGGAAACTACAATGTAATTATATCAAAGACAAGCGAAGGAAAATTATAATTTTTGTAACTGTTTGCAGATTAGAGTTTTTCTCACTGAGTAATTATGTTTTATCAATTAGTTTTGTTTTAATTTGTAATCAAGTTATTTGGTAAATTCTATTACCCAATTTTTATTCACCAACCTTTTATAGTTAATTTTGTCAATTCTGACGTACAGATATTTTGTCAAGTATTGAGAAAACCTTATATCCTAAATTAATATTAAATAATTAAAACTTATTTGTCTATTTACTTATATTTTGTTTTTCTCTACGAGGTGCAATCAAAAGTAAAGTGAGTACATTGTCTGTTCTGGCGGTCAGTGTATGCGTTTATTTTGGGATTACTGTGGTCAGTTTTCCAAAATCGCCGTACCATAGTTGGTGCAGGCTAGTGACATTGCGGTCAGTGTGCTAGTAATGGCTTAATTTATATATCGATCGATAGTTTAAGCATTGCGGTCAGTGTCAACAGAATTGAGAATTTAACTTTGTGTCAGTTATGGAAAATTTAAAGTTGTGTCAATTATATAGGATAATAAGTATTTTGTTTATGAATATCACCTTTTCATAACTTTCTTTAATATAAAACAGCTTTTGATAAACTTGATTGCTCATACTTGATTTTCTTTTTATTTCAGGTATGCCATCTCATACATGCATTAATTAAGTATTTTATCTATTTAATTTTACTATTATTTGAGTTGTTTTATTGTTTTTAATCATATTTAATACTAATTTCTATCTAATTTTATTTTGTTCTAAACTTTACCTTCTAATTTAAAGCTATTAAATGTTTTATTGAATTAATTTCTAGTATTTCATGACATTGATTAAATAACTAAATATTTTCGCCCAAGTTAATAACAAATATTTTAAATTAACGAAAATAATAAGAACCCTTTTAAATATAGCTTTTTAATTTATAAGCAGACACAATTACACAAAATATCAGCAGCGAACATTATTGAAATACTATTATTGTTAAAAGTTCTCCATTTTATCGTCTTTAATATAAGTCAAGTGTTTTATTATTAAATAAATAATTTTTATTTGCAAGTACTGGCTTTATTTTCGCATTTATAAGAAATAAGTCTCACTTAACACTATTTTGCATTCTTTTCTTATCGCATTTTGGTATGATACTTGACAAGAAAATTGGTATTTATCAATACACCATATTATACATTGATTTTTTAAGTTATAAACAACAACAAAATTTAGTTTCAATTTATCGTCGAGAGTTTTAATCAACAATTCTGATTAAAAATCTTTGCCTTTTATTTACGGTATCTAAAATGGCAATGTTTAGTTATGCTGAATATGCTGATACGTTATTTATGGTTTTTTTTTTAATGGAATTGCAGCTGAAGCTCGAGAACATTTACGTTGCTTCCCAAATAGGCAATGTTCGCATGTAAGTGTGTTTGGTGCAACCTACCGTCGTATTTTAGAATGAGGCAGTCTTTAACGAGTATAACATGTAGAAGCTCCTCCTCCAACCGTCAATATTGAATGTAAAATTTCAAGATTGAACAAGCACAAAAAAAAATTCCCCATAGCTTGGTGTCTCACAATGGAAGGTCAGCTCAGTTGTTCACCGAAAAGGTCTTCACCTGTTCCGTTATACACCTGTGCCAATATAGTACATTACTACTTGAAAGAGTGCATTCAGAAATGCTCGGCAAAAAATGCACGTTTAACTTATTATAAAAACTTCAAAATTTCTAAGCAGAAAATAATTTTACTACTTCTTTACTAGTAATTATTATTATTATATAGTTAGACATTTGACAAAAACAGTTTAGGTCGTACCTAATTGAGAAAAATTTTAATATTTGACATTTTTATTTTATTTTGATTAAAATAAATAAAATAAAATTATTTATTTAATAAAAGAAAGCTAATTCTGAAATAATGTGACTTATTTTAAAGCCAATGAAATTTAGAACTTTTAACAATAATTTGTACTTTTGATGTACTACAAAATGTTCGTCATTTTTGGGCATAAATGAACCTTTAGTTAGAAACTTGGCAAGAAAAGTTAAGTTTAAACCGAAATAATTTATAGTTAACATTAGTATTTCAATAATGTTCACCGTTGATATTTTATGTAATTGTGTCAGCTTATAATTTAAAAAGCGAAACTTAAATGTTTGCTTCGCAAAGGAGTGAATTTTTTAAAAGTAAAAACCGTTAAGGAGGTCCTTTCGCCACCAATGTTAAATAAAAAATATTAGATTATGACTAAAATAATTTTTTTTCTAATAGTAGATGTCCTTATTTATCTAATAGTGAACTTTTAACTATACCTTACCGTGCAAATTTTTGAGAATTTTTTTTTTAAATGTGTGTGTTTGTACAGTGTCTTATGAGAAAGTAAGACTTCAACAACAATTTTCGAATTATAATTAATTTTACTATTATTTATTGATTAGATGGAGTAGAAAAAAACTAAAAATAAGGTTTTTGAAATATTTAGGTTTTGTTTTTTACAATAAAATATATAGGTTACCGTGGAATTTATTGAGAAATTATTATTAAAAAATTACAAAAAAATTTCAACTAGGTTACTTGAAAATTTTTTGTGATTTTTTAATATTAATTTCTCAATAAGTTCCACGGTTTATATATTTTATTGTATAAAACAAAATCTAAATATTTCGAAAACCTTATTTTTAGTTTTTTTCTACTCCATCTAATCAATAAATAATAGTATAATTCGAGAATTGTTGTTGAGGACTTACTTTCTCGTGAGGCACTGTACAAATACTCACATTTTTAAAAAAAAATTCTCAAAAATTTGCAAGGTAAGGTATAGTTAAAAGTTCAGTATTAGATAAATAAGGACTTCAACTATTAGAAAAAAATTAATTTTAGTCATAATCTAATAACTTTTTTTTTTACATTTGAGGCGAGAGGTGTGGCGAAAGGACCTCCTTAATCTATAGCAAATAGGCTCTACTTTCACGTCCTCAAAGAAATATGTCCACTTACCAGTCACACTATATATTATATATAGATATATAAAGGCTACAATATTCAAAATTAATTGTACTTAAACGGTTTTAATAACAAGTATTGTTAATTAATACAATCTTTTATTTATATTTTGTAGGTTAGGGGTGTATATCCTCAGTATTACGATGATCTTATTGTGGATATCAAGCTTATTATAGGAGTGATCCCTCTCCACTGTATGGCAGTGGGTAAGTTTGATTTCTTTTTGATTTTAGTTCACCCGAGTTGAAAGATTACATGTCAATAGTGAATTAATAATGTGTTTATTAATAATAAAGATTGATTAAAAAAAAATGTTTCCCGTATACCTAATTTTTATTAATTTCAGATGGAGCAATAACTATGGGGAACTAGCAAGTTGGCATGATGGGGGTCACTTACCAATTTTGAACTATGTTAAATTTGACGTCTGCTACCGAATCTTTTATAGTATTTTAATTTATGAGCCCGGTGCCTAGTCTGCTACCTAAGCTTTTATAGTATTTTACTTTATGAGCCCGTTGCCTAGTCTGCTACCTAATCTTTTATAGTATTTTACTTTATGAGCCCGTTGCCTAGTCTTCTACCTAATCTTTTATAGTATTTTATTTTATGAGCCCGTTGCCTAGATCTATACATGCGAGCACACGTAGAGGATCAGGTAATGGGCGTGTATCGTAAGTTTCATGATACACTCAATTTACTACGTTTTGCAACCTAAAATCAAAATAAATAAAATTTTATGATTTGACACTATCATTTATTACAAGTTTCCGAATGTGACTTATAGTAATTTACGTTACAAGACTGGAAAGTAATGTTTTTCAGGTCGAGAAAAGCAGATTCCTAGGCGAGACCTGGAAGCTTGGAGAGACCTGCTTAACAATAATTTTCGGTCGCGTGACGTACATTTTTTTAGGACCGACACTTCGATGTAAACTCAATTATTTATTTTATTTAATAAAGTGATTAACAAATACTAAAACTAGATAATGGATACAACTGAATAAACTAACCAAATACATTTTTGTTGCTTTCAAAATTTCTTCTGGAATTTAATTTTCTATGTCAGATAATTCAAAATCTGAATCCATATTTTTAAATTTGCGAAAACAAGTTTGAAATAAACAACAAACCAAAAATCGACGATTTGTCACTTGGCAATAAATTGGAACATTGTTACCATAGTAACGAAATCAAGGCAGACTGTATTATCAAACAGCAATCGAAAAAATGAAAAAGAGGGACCGGTATAGCTTTTACCGGTCCCTAATGTGTGCTTTCCGGTCTTGATCGGCAAAACGTTACTTTCTGGATGAAAAATTGTTCAGAAAGTGTATACTTTTTGGTCGGTCTTAAAAAAATAACAGTTCAATTATAATAGACCAGTGGTCTGCAAACTCATTAGTCAATAGAGCCAAATAGCAACAGCACAAATTACAACGACTGAAATTTCTTTTGTGAGCCAAATTTTTTTAACTTGAACTATATATAGGTAGGTATATACATTGTGATTAACTTAATTAGGTTATTCCTAAGCTGACTTTTGCAAAAAACGTCCGCAATCTAATTGAGGTCGACCATTTCTAACTCTCTCATCCCCACTCGTCTTGTAAACTTGTTTTGTCTATCTTCTTTCGTTTATCCTCTGTATATATCCATACTATCTGTATATGTAACGTGTGGAGGGTTGGTTACCCCCACGGCACTTAGGCCTCATTAGGCCCATTGTGCATCCTCCTAAGATGATAGGCACCTCCTAGCTCGTGAGCCAGCCTACAGATTTAATGTAGTTGACAACGTCGCCAAGAGGTGCTTCTCATATATCGGCCGGTGTTAGCCGATACTCGCCGAACACAAATCTTCTAATAAATGAGAGCGTCGGGCAATCGTAAAGGATATGCTTGATGGTCTCATCTTCTTGTTCGCACCCTCTGCAGAGTGCGGATTCTGACAGCCCCATGATATGGAGATGCTTCCGTACTTGGCAATGACCAGTCAGAATGCCTGTGACCAGACATACCATCTCAACATACCTTTCTCAATATTTGAAAGGAGATTCACTCCACAATGCTTTTTTAAAAGTAACTTAATAAATTATAGGTGCATTGAATAAATCTTGATAATATCATATTTAATAACTACATTATTTATTATTAAAATTAAATTGAATTGTATTTAAAAGTGTGGTTTTGAAATATCAAATGACAATGTCATAATTTCAACAGGTTTAATATGTAGGATTAAAATAGAATCTCGTAGGGAAGGCAAAATGCTTTGGACAGAGGCAGATGAAATTACTAACTGCAGAGTTGCAGTTCTCAATAAGTCGCTTCAGAGCACTCATCTAAAGATAAAGACTTATAAACATCAACTAAGTATGAAAAAGTAGAAATAAGAGAAACAAACATCATAAAGTTTAAATCATACTGTATGTGCGATTGTCTATTTCTACTTATATTACAGAAATCAATAGGTAAGTACAAAATTGGTGGTAAAAAATAATAATAAGTAATAGAGTAGTCGGGGATAAAAGTTCGCACGCGAAGAGCGGGGAATTAGTGGAAGTGGATATATTACACTCATTATGGTATGATCCATAGATAAATTAATAAGGAAGATAGTCGGATCCCGTGTTAATTTTTGGAAACGTATAGTGCTGCGAATTAGTATGAAACGGATTTTTTTGAACTACACTGGCTGATTGACTTGCCAGTTAGAGGCTGAAAAAGAATAATAAAAAAAGAAGAGCTTTAAGCCAACCGCGGTTCATTCAAATATAATTTATTATTTATTTACATTTTTTTGGCATTCATTACTTTAAAAAAAACTAATATTTACATCAAAATAATGTATTTAACATAAATATTAGTTTTTTTTTTTCGTAATAAAACCCAATATAAAAAAAGATTTACATTAAAATAAAATATTTGAAACACATATTTTAATTATTTATTATACCGTAATACACACATGGTAATGAGCTCAATATTAAATAACAATTGTAAGTAAAATGAATAGTAGGTAGTCTCCCCCATTCTTGGAAAAATGGACCATATTTTGTTGGGTGTCGGATGTTTCCTATAAAAACAAAAAGTGTACATATGTCTTATTGAACAATTTCTCTTATCAAATATTAATAAAATACAACTTTTTATTTATTTATTTATTGTTTTTCTTCTATTCGAGGGTCGTTCAAATTGTTCATCACTAATTATATTAAGTTTACGTTTGCAACTAATTTATTGTTTTTCTTATGCTGCTGTATTTGTGCTTCAGCCTCAACATATTCTAAAATCTAATTCTCAAGTTGTATATTTGAACTGGATGCACAATTATCTAATGAAATTGGTACAGAATGTCCAATAACTAGCAGTTTACGTTTTGAGGAAACCTTACTAAAAGATTGTCTGCACAAAGATAGCGAGTATTATTATCTAAAGTTAAGAGCAATCCAGTCCCTTCTGACGTCACACCGCACGAATATCACGACCTCCACTTAAAGTATTTGGAACCTTGTTCGCTACATAAATTTGGCAATGTTGTGTGTCGTACGCTGAAGGGTCCGATTACAATTCAGGTAGGTATAATTCGTTGGCTATCGCCGCCTACTGGGGGTTAGTGGCTTGTTAATATACGAATGTAGGATTACTATTTTTAAACCAAACAACTCAAATATTTTTTATTTATTGATAGTTATAGATGATATACAGGGTGTCCCGAAATTAGACGGTCATATTTTAACAGCGTAATCTACATCCTAAAATAGTAGTAAAAGTTCATATAAACATAGGTCCGAAAACATTTCTTTTCCGAGATACAGGGTGTTAAAGGTGAAGTCCTGATACCACACTTTTGTAAATATTTTCTAAACGTTTAAAGATAATTAGGTAAAATTTGTTACAAATACTTACCTTTTTACGCTTCATTTATTGGACTAAATCCCAGTTATTGATCATCTTCTTAGGTGGGTAAATTAGGGGGAGCTTAGGGTAATATTGCCGTGTGTATCTGTATGTCTATATCCACCATAACTCATGAACCGATACACATAAAAACACTAAATTTTAAACTTAAGTTTTATTTCGGCCTGACGTGAAATAATTAGATTTTGGACAAAGTCGGAACATCTGGGGGGTACTTTATGGGAGGCCGTTTCTATATTTTATTGAATATATCTGTTATTTATGTTTGGAGAAGAAAATTATTCAAATAAAAGTTACTTCTAATATTATTATCTATAATTTTTGCTTTATGCCAAAATTTCCTGAAATGGTCCGTATTCTAGAAATTTGACAAAATGTGCAAAATTCTAAACTAAACTAAAAGTTGTTTGCGATATCGATCTCTATAATTTTTGTTTATACATGATTTTTCTAAAATGGACCGTAATGGAAAAATTGTAGGAAAATTGCTAAATTTAAATTTTTCAGTATTTTCGTTTTCAATGAATAACTATAGAAATATTTCTAGGTAGATAGATGTATGTGGAAAATGTATATATTTAGTTTATCCTCTAAACATTTATAGAGGTACTGCAATAAGTTGTACAAAATAACCAGAAAAAGCCTATAATAACTAGACAGGAAAGTCATGTATTGGACACATCAGATTTTTGACTATAAAATTTGGAAAACCAATATTTTCTGTATAATAAAGCTACATTTGTTGCATCTCGCTAGGAGGCGCCATTTTCAAGAGAAAAGCATGTTACCTTATTCGAAAGTGTAAACAATAATTAGTAGGTCTGTAGAATTAGAAATTAAATTTTTTTTTAACTTTGAAAAACCGGTAACTAAAGAAATTTTAGAAAATATTTCATCTGGACTTCACTTGTAACACCCTGTATCTCAAAAACGAAACGTTTTCGGACCTATGTTTATATAAACTTTTACTCCTATTTTTAACCGACTTCATAAAAGGAGGAGGGAGGTTCTCAATTCGTCGCAATATTTTTTTTATTTTTTTTATGTATGTTCAGCGATAATAACACGGTGTCCGATTTCAATGATTCTTTTTTTGTTAGAAAGGAGGTACTTCAGGGGTGGTTCCATATAAATTTGGTCAAAATCTAATAATTGGGCCCATGAGAAAATTCTCAAACTCTTAATTTTTTATGTATGTTTAGCGATAATGCTTTACCACCTTGTCCGATTTATATGATTCTTTTTTTGGTAGTAAGGGGGTACCTCAGGGGTGATCCTATATAAATTTGGTTAAGATGTGGTGACGGCATCTGCACGTTTTTGAATTCGGTTTTTTTTTTAATTTTTAATTTCTAATGCTTGTAGGATGTAGATTACACTGTTAAAATGTGACCGTCTAATTTCGGGACACCCTGTATATTGGAAATTCGAAATAATAGTTATGACGTAGCGATGTTTTTCTAATTGTAATCGGATCCAAGGTATATGGATACGATTAAATATTAATATAACAATTTTTTAAAGTCTGTATTAAAATTTTTTTTTTTCACTTAGATTATTAAATTAAAAAAATAACTATTAAAACACGAAATGTTAATTTTTTCTCTTTTACAACACAAAATATACAATACTGTTGAATCAAAATTTTCTCTTGGCAGCAGGTGGTTTTTGTGACGCGACAATTTTGATGCTTTGCATCTCATGAATTAAAGTTAATTCTCTTTCAATCTTAAGGTGTTCATACCCCTTATAATTTTCGGACAAGAATATCTCAAAATATTTAAATTTTGGCAAAATAAATTAGGCTATAATATCTATAATATGCATATATTTTAATGTTTTAATTCCTTCCAGTTTCCCAAAAAAACTAAAAGGGATTTAATTTTGAAATATCATAATGAAAATAAATGCATTCCTCGACAGCACTATCCCCAAATTTAAGCCCCTAATGTCTTGTTAATGATTTCTTAAAATTCGCCAAAATTAGTGGCTAAAACGCTTCGTTAAGTGCTATCTTCTGGTGTAAACTGGTGTAAATTATTGCAAGAAACGAATAATGACAGAGTGTTACAAGCCCGTTAGACTGTTTTCCACTCAATTTATTAAAAAAAAAAAAAAATAATAATAAATTAGGGTGTTAATTTTTTTTCTCTGAAGCTATTGGTTTTGGGAAAAAAATTCAGGAATAAAAAAAAAATTAAATAAATCAAGGATTTCATAAAAGTTCATCTCGAAAAAAAGATTTGATATGAAATAAAGTAAGTGTTGCTAATTTCACCCCCCTATAATGTAACAGAAATATTGAAAAAATACCCATGGTTAGTCCTTTGCGATTACAGAATTTCAAGTTTCTAGCTTTACTGAAATTTTAGAAAAAAAAATAAAAACTCAATTTTAGTCACCACTTTTTAAGGGTGATATCTCGAAAAGGGGTGGGCTACGGAAATTTTGTTATAGGAAAGACCCATCTTAATTTCATACGAGCAATCAGTTCCTGAATTTTGTCGCATGTATTTAGAAACACCCTGTATATTACACATTTTTTTAAGCGTGCAAAATTCTTGACAATCTCTTTTCCCTAATTGGCACATGTCGTATTTTTCTAGGATTTACTAACTCTGGCAGCAAACAAATAAAATAGAAATTTGTCAGCTGTGCATTTTTGCCTTCCAGAATTTTTCATTTCATAAATTAACTAAAAACTAAATTAAACAAAAACCTAACAACGCCTCAACAACAAACTAAGACGATCACAATAATGTCGCACCTCTTCAAAAACAACTACCTATTTTTCGACACAGGGCTGGAACTCTGTGTCATGTAGAATTCTACTTATCGCTTTTTACAATGGAATCGATTACTTTCTTTTGTGATAAATACGTTATCAACCGCACGGGAAATATCGCAATGTGGTTTCTTATGAAACTAGTTATCCTGTAGTAAGTATATACTCGTTGGTTTTTTGCTATGTTACACAGAGTGCCACAAAAGAATCTGTTGTAGAAAGCGATAAGTAGAATTCTACATGACACAGAGTTCCAGCCCAGGAATTAACAAATTTAACTAAACAGCAGTGTTGCCACACCAATTAATTTTTACGTAATAGAATTTTGAACCAAAAGGTAATAAAATCGTAATAGATAATATTTTAAAGTAACATAAATGTATCACAACTATTATTAAATACATTTAACAATAAATCTTTAATATGTATTATTTAGTTGAGAGAAAATTATTTCTGCTGCTGCAAAAGAATTGGGTATTGATAAAAAACCACAAGTTAATTTTTTAAATTTTAAACATTTGGTTCATCCAGTGAATAGATGTTAGGCCAAAATTCACCTAAGGGTAAATTTTTGTAATTTAATATTTCTTCAAAGTCTTGAAGGGGTCTACGTTATTAAAAACAATTAATAAATTATGCTGAAATTCTGGAGGCTGGTGGTAATCCCCTACTAAACTAAAAACTGACCCAAAACAAAAAAAAAATAATACAATATAATAAAGTGACGCCTATCTTGGATTTGTTGAAACAAGAAAACACAGAAATAACAAATGTATAGATTTTTTAAATTTTTTAAAGTATTTTTTAGATAGAGCCACTCATAAAATTTCGATATTTTAAATAGTAATAGATTTTTCCTCTTTTCTTAAAAGTCGTAATAACGTACTGGTGTAACTTTTTAGTAATAGATTTGTTACAATTGTAATAGCAACGGCAACACTGCTAAACAGCAGCTACCCTTTTAACCACGGGCTTCAAAGACTAGCAGCGTTGCCATATTCACTGGTATCATTGTTTTAATAGAATTAGTATCGGAATGAAAACTATGTTAATCTTCGGTCCTGTTTAAAATTGGTAATCTTTTTGAAAAAAAGTTATTTAGAAAATAGTTAAGATATTTGTTATAGAATGCCGGTAAAGAGCCAAAAAATTAAATTTGTTAAAAAGTTGAAATTTTTGTTGTTTTTCTTTAAAAATATAAGTTTTTCGCGGTTTAGCGAAATTCTTGGTTCATTTTTATAACGATTGGCCTGAACCATTTTTTTTTACAATTTTTTTAACTGCCTCAAATGTAAAATTGATTTTTGGTGGAGGAGCGCCCGTCATGTTTGCTCTTAAATTTAAAGTCTTAAATCAGTTCTGGCAAATTTTAATATCGGAAGGAAAATGAAAAAAGGTTTAATATTTTGAATATCCAACTTTCTGAATTTTAGAACAATACTTATTTAAACAATTAGGAGCTGAACAAGAATACTCTCGAGAATACTTAACTATATCCGAGCCAGACATTTTTTGTTTCAAATATTATAACAGAACTGAAAATCCATGAAATATGAAATTATATAAGGTTAAGTAAACAATGATAAAACAAAGTCCTTAAATAAATCTACACACCTTTAATATTAAACTAAATTGCTAATACTTACTAATTACATCAAATCAACACTGTTTATCTTCTTAAAAATAATTTGCCGATCTATAGAACTTTCATCATAATTTATAAAATAAGTTTTATTATATCATTTCATTATCATATTTGGCCTTCCGCCATCACGGTTTTTCATTTTTTACGAGGTTGTCAACTCCTTCTTTTAAAAATGCCATCAATAGTATGGACATTGTATGGATAGTATGGTGCGCATGTAGATTGATAAAAAATTAAAATAATATGAATTTGAAATAACTCTCATCTCATGAAAGTTTACGGAAACCGGCAACATCGCTTTCATACTATTGCGATGGTGGCGCTAACTAATAGTATGCTGGGAACTACAACGTGTTGACAGTGGCGTGCATTTAAAAAATTTATCTTGGTTTATTAATTTATCTATGGTATGATCGGTTCAGTGCATCGCAGAATAACCTGCAGTTTAGACACGTGCATTGTACGCCGTTTTTTGTTATAACTATGAGGTAAGTTTTATATTTTGGTGTTTTAATCTTATTTTCACAAATGTTGTAAATGTTATTTGTCTCTAGTCTATTTGATACAAATTCTTTTAATTCCTGTGAAATGCAAGGATTTCAGAGAACAGATTTCACAAAAAAATTATTTGTGGAGGTTTATGTTTTTCTAATTGAGGATTACTAAATCTAGAAAAAGAAGTGGAATGTTACTCATCACTCTACAGTGTGCTGCTGTCGTCATAAGTAAAAGTAGAAGTAAAAGAAGAATAATATTCCAGAAATGTCCAGAAATGTCATTACCCGTCAAGAATATTCTAGACGACACTTCGAGAAGGTTCCAGAAGGTCAAGCAAGCTATATAAGTCGACGACCTGACGTCAGAGTTTCAGTTTTATGATAGACGTTACATGTTAATGTTATTAGTTGGAGTTATTGTATCAGTTGAATTGAGTTATTGTAAAAGTTAAATTAATAATAAATTGCGATACCAAAAAACTGTGTAACAATATTTTTACCAAGGAAGATTTTCTACCTGCGTCGGTAACAGACCAGGAAAGAGAAATAGAAGATGTTGTAGATATCAATAACGAAGCAGAACATTTTGGCAATGCTGAGAAATTCCTAGATGAAGATGAAGTTTCAAATACTCCAAAATCTCCAAAAGCCAGATGTGTGCAAGAAGACGATCCCCAAAAACCTGGTTGTTCAAAAGAAGTCCCTGAACATTTTTTTGTAACATTACCGTCAGATATCATTCCTCTGCCATTACTTACTAAAAAGAGAAAACGAACAAAAAAAGGATTGAAATCTACTCTCCTTACCTCAACACCTAATAAAGAACAACTGGAAATTCTAGAACAGGAGAAACGAAGAAAAATCGAATTGAAAAAAAGAAAGGAAGCCATTAGAAGAAATAATACAATGGTGAGAAATTTTTTTGAAGAAGAAAGAAGCAAGCTCAAGGAAAACCAAAACCAATCGTCTTCTGACTCAGATGTTCAAATGTCCCTTCATGATAGCAGCAGCGATATGAATTACTTCGAAAGTGATTCCGAATTAAGTAGTGGGTCAGCTGGGTTAAACGTAGAGAAGTTCGCTGTAGTAAAAGTTTATGGAAAAACGAAAGACTCATGACTCATTCCAACTCTACGTAACTCGGAAAATTGCAACAGAAGATGATGGCTGCCATGGAATTTTTTACAAAAGGGCACCTAACACAATGCGCTTTTCAGAGACAGAGGAAGAGTTTTATGTAGTTGTTAGGAAACTTTCCAAGCCATTGCAACGTAGTTCTGCAAGATTTAAGGACATTGTTAGTTTTTCTACAGATTTAAGCGATTTAACGTTGTATTAGTTTAATTGTTTATTATATTTTTAGAATTTTCCCAAAGAATTTGTTTGAATTTTGTTTATTTTTTTAATATTGCCAAATAAGTATTTAAGTTTTTTTGTTAAAATACATATTTTTATATTTATTGTGGTTGGTTATTATTTATTCATAAACATATTTATTCAAAAAGGTCAAAGATCCGCTGGCGGATTTTTGCCCCACTAAATGGGGCAAAGATACCGTTTGGCCTTATTTAGGTATATATTCCTGAATTCTTTAAAACAAGTATTTCGTCTTAATTTCATATATAAAGATACGTGCATGAACATACCAAACATATCGACACATTTCAAGCACATTATAGAAATGGAAAGGGTCCAAAATATGACAAATACTAAAAGTGCAGATTTTTGCCTACACAAAATTAAAATGAATATATTTTTATAATTTTTTATAAATAAAAAAACTTAACTAATTTACCTAACCTGTGTGGCCAGGAGCCATGCAAATATTTCTTTGTTGTCCTCCACCTACCTGTTGACGGCATTTGGGGTAAAGGACACCGATCTGATGCGTGTGAACTTGAGACTCTTAATTTTATTTAGGAATAGGTTTCTTTTAAATTTAAGTAAATCCAAACACCCAGTAAGTCAAAAATAAAACTTTAATGAAACAAAAGATAGAAATAACGTGGAACAAATTACAAAATACAAAAGTGTTGAATAATATAGCAATAGGTTACAAAAAAATTAATTAATACAAATAAAGTTTATAGAGGGGTGTTTCGCGTAACCGTTAAACAGTCAGATTGACGTAACTTGAGTTAACACTGCACAAAAAGTTAATTTCATAAATACTACCTTAATACTTTGGCACTATGTGAAAACTATGGCACATTAACTAGACTAAATTTTATTTAGTCTTTACGATCTCTTGGCAACTGGGCTGGGATCATTCAGTAACAATTATTAATGCAAGCCGTTCCTGCGGCGGGGTGGAAAGGGACCCTCTCGTACTGTCTTACGTCATCACACTCGCGAATTTCGTACTATAGCGCAAGTAAAAGTTGGAAAGGCTTTTGGTAGGTAGAGAGGGAGTAAACGTCAAACCACGTCGGACAGCTTCGAGAATTTCGCTTTGCTTTGCTTTGCTTTGCATATTTTTAAGCATGGTGAAATATTTGTATTTTTAGTGCATGGAATTATTAAGAAAACTAGCTTTCAAATGAGGTATCACAGTTTACAATATGTAACAGTTTTTACCTCGCTAGAGATTACCAACTTTTAAAGCAAAGCAATGAGCAGTCATATTGCAGAGTTCCCCACAAAATTGCCTTTTCGATTATTTGTCATACTTGGTACTTTCCCTATTTAAAGTGACGGAGGGAACAGAAATGGCATATAACAGTTGAGAATATTATAGAAAGGTGTCTCACTCGGTGTCCACCCTTGAAATAAAAATCGACAGGTAATTGAGTTTTTTTCAAAAATATTTACTTTAAGATATTCTGAGATACGGTCATAACAGCCCTTAATTAGACACCCTACCCTGTAAATTTTAAGTTCACCTTTATTTTATTTATTTATTTTATTTATCATGAGTCATCTTTATATATATTTTACCTATAAAGCTTACCAGTGTGACCCATATGGCAACCTTAATCCACATGATGATTTTGTACAAATATTAGCAACATTGAAACAATATTTCAAAGCAATTTTATAACGTTTATAACTGAGCCAAAAATTTGTGAGCGGTATATTAATATTTGAGAAGATATTTCGTACACACCTTCGTGCCCGCATTTTCCCAAAAAAATTGTAATCCAATTTATATATTTATATTTAAGAGTTCATTTAAACCTATTATACCTACTTTTAAAACATAAATAATTTTTTTTAAATATTATTAAAAATTAGTTATATGGCGCCATGCATAAAAGCATTTTAAAATGTATGTACATACTATTGTAACAACTATTTTTTTAAAGGAAAATAAAAATATGTACTTGTTATCTAAAAAACGTGTTTTTTATATTCCTCACCAAAAAACACTTGACATAATTAAAAGAAAATGTTTTAACAAATGAATAAGTCAACAATTAAACAATGTTTTATTTCATAAATTCATCCTAATACGTTCCCGACACAACATAATCCAAAATTCGTAAACATTCCTAATCCGACCCCGAATTCTAAATCGAAGTGACATAAACAAGATCAAATTTCTATTTTTAGAAATGGACAGAGAAATACTGCTGATTGTTTTATATGCTGTGATATAACTTATTTAGGTGTCCCTTTAGTGTTATATTTTGTACGGCAGAATTTTAGCAATTATAGGTTTGTTTTGGTTCTTTTACGAACTAGAATGGGTTACACTCGTTCAGCTCAATGGGCTTTTAACTTATCGTGACCTATTCTTAAAAAAAATGAATTCGTCCAATGTATTTGAGAACTGGAATCGACGGTTCTGTTTAAACCAAAACAAGCCCTTTATAAATTTAACGATTGTCCGAGTTTGGAGGAGTGTCCTTGAGTTGCGCGATAGCTTAGGTATTTTTATTCCTTTACACATGCGTCAACTACAACTACATATATACAATAACATTGCATCAAAAATAAAATAAAAAATAAGATGAACACCAACAGTCAATATTTAATAACGTGATAAATATATAAGAAAACACTCTTTAGTGTTTCTACCCATGTTTTGGATAAACTTTAATTAGGTAAATATTTATATTTAGGTACATAAACATTTAACCATTAGAACTATAAATTATATTTGCTGTGGTCACGTATATTGACCTCATTAACTTTCATTTTGGCGTCTGGAGTCCAAATTTTGAGGTTAGAATAAAATATTGTTGTTTGGAACATTAACTAACTAGATTAGACATTAAACTTAATATACCAGTAACAGTTCACATATTTAATATAATTGAGATTTATCTTAGTTGTTCTATTTTATTGGAATTAACACAAAAAATGTAAAAAATGGTTGAGTTATTTATGCCAAAACAATATTGTCAATCTTCCGTATTTTTGGTTGCCTATATAGGTACCTACTAATATTAATATTTATTTGGGAACGTAATCATTAACATATTACTTAGTGTGTGAATCTTTTATTTTGTAACTAACCAGATACGGACTTGTTTATTTTATTTAAACAGATAAACTGATTTTAATTTAAAGCTGTTCCTAATATAGAGGATTACCTACCTACATTTTATAAAATTAACATACCTATTTAGTGTTGCTCGGTTACAGGCGAAATCTTTTGACTGTCTCCAATAGTTGTTGTAAAACGAAAATAAATACTCGAAATCAGTACCTATCTACCACATAAATTAATTTAAATACTAAACAAACGCAGTTATACAAACCTTAAACTTTAGGCAAAAGTGATAAAAAGTTTGTATTTCAGTAACCGCAACATGCAACATTAATTTAGAAAAACAGAGAAAAAAATTATTAATAAGCATTAAACAATACCTAATGACATATATATATATAGTTAATTTTTTTCTTTTTTTACGTAGAAGGACCTGTAAACATTAACGATTGCATAGGTACCTGATATCTGTATAGGTATATGAATGTATTCTTTATTTTTTCCACTTTTGTTTTTTTTTTTTCAATTCAGAGAATTAAAATTTGAATAGGGGAGGACACACCGATTTTTGATTTCGCTATAAAGTGGCTTTCTTTCGGTTTTCAAATTCTACTAATAATTTTATCATGCTATATTTTTGTTTGTATTTTTTTCTTGTTCAGTTAAAATTTAATTCAGCCAATTTGTATTGGATACATAACCAAAATAAATGTAATATTCTTGACTTTTAATAATATTGTTCTATTTTGACAAATATAAGGGGTAAAAGAATTTTGGCGATGTGTGTAGTTTTAAGAGCAAAATAAAACACAGTTAATATATTCTTTATTCTTGTAATACAAGTATAAAGGGAGATTTGGGAAGGTACATGGTATTACCTCATCCTTTAATTTCAGCTTTCCCCTTTTTATTTTGCAGTACAGTACAATCAGTAAAAATAGTTTCATAATTTTTGATAATATCTTCTAAAAAGTATAGAACAGCATCATCTCTGGAAAGTGCTTTACCGGCACTAGGAACGATATATATGCTGCCACTGTTCTAAGCGTTTAGTATCCTATAAAAAACATAAACACGGCAACGCTGTCTCTAAAATTGGGTCATTTTTAAAGGGTAACCGATTGAGAAAACATTGGCAATTGACATCTTACTTTAATATTGGTCTATGAACAAGGACGCAAATACACTGAGTGCACACTTTTCATATGAAAGGCCACTCGACTCGACGGCCGGCGCGGGTTCATATTTCGACTATCGATAGTTCTTTATAAATCTATCGATTGTTCCGATAGTTAAATAAACAACACTTATTGGCGTATGTTCTCTATTTCACATTTAGAATTTCACTGATTCACGCAATTTCTTGTTAATTATAAAATAAAGTTTTTATTTATTATTATTATTTATTCAGAATTATAGATTGCCTAGCTCTCTCTTGTATATTAGGAGAAGTCGCTCCTGTACCGGACATCTGTCTCTCCCTCTTTTTTCGAAATATGTATCGTAATAAACCAAGTAAAAATGTGTGCTGTGAGAAAACAATGTTATTGATCTAATAGTTTAATTTAAAATTTTCAAAAATCGTAAAAATTATATCTGTTTAAAAACTTTTCCCTATACCGGCACCAACATATCGGACGGTATATTCTGATTAATAAAACTGGTAAAATTATTGACAAGTTTG